CACAAGCTAATGCACAGTTTCTGTGTATTTGCTGAATTGAATATTTCAAAGGGAAAAAAAATAAAATGTGGTCTGTGTAAAGGTCAAATTTATGTTTTCCCCCAGTGTGTTAAACTCACATACATGCAAATACATGGAAAATGTGCAGAAAAAAAACAACAACAAAACGTGTAATTCGACTAGGGGTGTTCAAACTTTTGAACACGAGTCTAAGTGATTAAGACACTCTAATAATGGTAGGTACCTGAAGAACAATCAACTTCAATTGTGTTTGCCTTCAAAAATATCACATCTGTACCTACTTTTCTTTTTTTTTCAAATGCTGCAAATTATTATCCACTTAATGTCAACATTTTTTTGCATGGATGCAACACTAAAGGCTTTAATGCAGTGTAGATCAGAGTGGAATGATCCCTTTGACAGCGTCAGTGCTAAATAAGAAAGCAGGGGAAAAAAAAAAAAACACCTAGAATAGTTGTTTTTTAACTCACTAATTACTGAAATCTGCTTTAAGCTGAAACATAGCCTACACGAACTGCAGAATACACAGTGATGGAGGCCCTCCCAGTCCATAGCGTGGTGCTCCTCACATCCTCTCCCTGCTTCATGTGCCCCTAATAGACGAAGGTTTTTTTTTTTTTATATCGCCAGTAGAAGGTCCTCGTTACAAACTATACGAACAAATTAGAGAGGGGAAATGTAAGATCAAAGGAAGCGAAATAAGCACGGGGTCGCTCGACTCATTCATGCAGCTGCTTTGAGATTCAAGGCCAACAAGCGTATCTTACATTGAAAGAGGGCTCCCATTCAGGGTGCAGGTGCGAAGTGCTGTGGTACATTCTGTCACATTATGTGAAGGTTGTTAGAGATCAGGGGCTGCTTCTCTCATTGGGGAGAACTCGTTCATCCATGAAAGTAAAATAACTCAGCGCCTGCGATTGTGGGATGCTGGTAATCCGAGCACTCGGAGACTGATTCAATCAAGGCACCTCATAAATTAGCCACGTCTCACTCTCTATTGCCCTTTTTAACGTTGTCTCCACAACACGTTATGGGTGATGATGTAGGTCACAAGTCTATACTGTCAGTGCGTGCGTCGACTGGCAACGTGGTTAAGTTATTGGTGTGTAAGTGTGGTAAGTTGCTAAGTTTCGTTGACATGTAATGACAGGGTTCACCTTAATATTAATATATAATAACGTTGCAGTCGTCGAATAGAAAGAATAGAAATCTTGACCCATAACAAACGCTTGGCTGGCAATTAGCTGTAGTCAAAGTTCTCCAGCTCCAAGGAGAAGCTTACAAATATTAATGAAACTTCGGTATGTCTGATTATCTTCTCTCGCCCATCGCTTTAAAATTGCGACAGTTTGCTATTCGTAAAGGACAAAGGACAGTCGCAATTGGCGTATATCGCGATTGTCGCTGTCCCGTTTGCGAGTGCTGAAAAAGTCCATTTTGAGAGTCATTTTTAATGAACCAACGCGACAACATTGTGCTCTACTTTACGGACTGCTAGCAACGACTGCTGTCAGTTGTTAAGAAGTTAATTAGGCTACAAAACGGTTTCTAAAATAATCGCCAATTTAATGAGCATGCACGCCTTTTCCGTGTCGTGACATTGTTCATTCGCAATCCGTTGTATGTAGCCGATCCAGTATATACAGATTTGTAATGTTATTGTTTTTAACTTTTAAAAAGTTTAGTACTTTGGTTCCATTGAAATTTCATACTGAAATTTAAATTTTATATTGAAATTTCAATAAGTTAAGAAAAAAATAAAAAAAAATAATGAACAGCCAGTTTGAACAACATTGGGGGATCTAAGCTAACCGAACAAAGAGTGAATGGTAAATGCAAAACTATGATAGAAAGTATACCACGTTTTTTACAGCATGCTTGAGCTGTGTTTGGCCAGATATCTGTAAATTTCAACATATTTGCAATTTTGTTTTCTGGAATTGTGTTGTAATAGCATTGAGAGACATATAGAGACTATTTCAGCACACTCGCTTTAATTGTCCACATTTTGCAGGAGCCCATATTTAGGCCTCCAAAAAAGTGGAACTTAAGACAATCAGCTCTTAATAATGATAATAATAATAATAATAATAATAATAATAATAATATGTAATAACTACATAATCGTAACTTATATGAAGCCAATATGTAAGTTGTGACGTTATGAGAGTCAGTAATGGAAATCTGGAAGTGCCACATTTCCTTGGGCTTACAAGAGCTAAAGAACATTGTTTGGTTGCCTATTTAAACCGACTTCAGATTAAACTTCCGCTTTACAAGCCTACATGAGACGGAACAATGTTTGCAGGCTAAAGTGTAAGATTTGTGTTGGCCCATTCAGTAATGACAACATGTCTTATTTATCTGACAATGTTTCTGGAAACACGTTAGCTCTGCTTTTGGAATTGTGGCTGTGGCGTTTACAAGCTTTATAACAACTGTAACATCTCTTAGAACCAGCCTATAAGAAGAACCAAATGCCACATAAGAAAAGTGAAAGCAGGGGCCCCACTGCAGTATCCGGTGCGTTAAAGGGGAGGGGCCGGCCGGTCCGAATTAGCGCCGTTTCTCAATCAGAGTTTTGTGTTATTGCCTAATTTATATATTTATTGCCATTGCACCTGTCCTGTCATTCTGCAGGCGAATTCCAGTCACCCCGTGTCGTGTAATTATGACATGAAATAGAAAGCTGAATAGTGAGAGGAGATGCTTTTTTTTTCTTTGGGAACCGCTAATCCCCTATTAAAGGGGCTTTGTTAAATAATGCAAGACGGTTTCCGGAAGTGGGATTATCGCCTTCATTATTTTACAAAGAAATGATATTTCACACTCAAATGAGCCTTAGCTTGCCATTATAACAAGAGCGAAACTACCCACTTTTATTTCCACTCAAGAAGGAAAAGGTTGTAAATGGTCAGTAGCCATTGTTTATTAGCTGGCTACAAGTGGAATAAATTAATTTCATTCATGTATGGACCGGAAAAAAATCTGCAGCCAATCAGCTGAAGTACAATTTGAGGTCGAAACCAAGTTTTAAACTTTTTTTTCTTTCACTGAGCTTAACTGTTAACCTCATCATAACCTCCTGCAGAAATTTTAGAATTTAGACGGTCAAAAAAAGTAATCTGTGGAATGGGCGATAATGATGACATGACATGACAACGACAGCGCTTCATCTCTTTTCTGCTAAACTGCACCTAGATGAAAACGTCCAGAAGGTCAAAGGGCATCCTTACATTAAGTAAATAAATAAATAAATACTTTGACCCAAAAGAAACATTTTTTCCAAAGCAATTTTGGAAAAATGTCCCTTTTTTCTTCTTCTTTTCTCGTTCTTTTTTTCGTTTCTTTTCTTTTTTTGTCCTGTGCTATTTGTTTCTTTCCAGTTCTTACTTTCTCCTTTTTTAACATTTCTTGTTGTAACGTCGACACGTGCACGCGCCCTGAGAGGGAGGAAGGGAGGGAGGGAGTGAAAAAGAAAGAAACAGCTTCTCGCTCGCGTTTATTTATGAAGCAACGCCGCCGTTTTCGATTTTTTTTTTTTTCTTGATGACATACACTTGATTCTACTCGCATTCGTTTCCCTCTCAGTTTGATGGGTGGAACTAAAAGCTTGAGACACTTTTTGAAAAGATGGGGCGATCAAATTGGTGACAAAGAAGTCTTTCCGTGTCATCAACGTCGTTTAGACTACATGCAGGAATCCCTCTGATAATAACCAACACTTCAAAGGCTCCTCGCTTCAATTGAGACCAAACTATCCCTCTCTCCATTCATGCACAAGAGCTGGTACTATGGAGGACTCAACTGTTTAGCTATTTCTCGTTGTGTTTATTTTTTTCCTCCATTCAGGGGAGCATTGGATAGTGCAAACAACAAGACAATTACCAAAGGAGACAAACTAAAACGTATCTCATCAAGCAATGCGTATCCACCCACAGCCTCGTGGCATTCAAATGCATAACGCTTGGATGAAAATGAAGTAAGCTGGAAACAACTCTAACCCCTGCCTGTTAAACTTGGGAACATCGTGACTATAGATAGATAGATAGATAGATAGATAGATAGATAGTCCCATATGCACGACTGCAGCCTCTAACAGCGTGCAGGCTAGCATGCTGTTGCAGCTAATGTAAAGTCCAGACGATAATAAAATGTTTTCAGGGTCCAAACATGCCCCCAAAACATGACTGTGTTTCCACTGACTTCTCTTAGGCGGTTGTCGAAGCAAAACAAAACGAGTTCTTTTCTGTGAATAAAAACATATATTAGGGTTTCCGACCCCATGGGCAGCAAATATTGCATTCTTTAAATCAGTCTTTTGAGTCCAGCTCCCCGGCCCCCATATTATTTGAGTCTGACTCGGCGATTGCCATAGAAATCCTAACTCACCATGAAGATTCACCGTCGTGAAGAAATGGCTCTTTGTATAAAACGTGCTTTGATGTCTGGATGAGAATACGCGAGCCTTTCATCAAATGCTACCCACGTAATCGGAGTATAAAACCGGGCTACCTATGTGTATATAAGAAATATAAAAGGATATAAAGGCGGCGAGTCATGGCCATGGAAACTGGAAACTGGGGGAGGGAGTTCTACGCTGTTTTGTTTTGTTTTGTTTCTCCAAAATAGTAAAGTTGTAACTATTTATTATTTGTTTTCCTACACAAAAAAAGCAACAGGGCACTGTCACATTTACTGGAAACATGCCTGTATTGGGCTATTTATTTTCTATGCTTTCTTGTTTTTAATTAAGCGCTGGGTTTGAAAAAGATCGTCTCTTTTTTGTTCTTTTTCTGACTTTTTTCTTTCTTTCTTCCGCTCTTTTTTACTCTATAAAACTGATTTGGGCTAATTATTTAGTTAAATGCTGGCCTTATACACGTTTTTCTTTTCACTTTGAAGCTGTAGTCTACTCGTTATTATTTTTGCATGTCATTGTACACAGTTTATTCAAAATACTGACAACTTACAAGGCATTTCGGTACACATTTTAAGGTCTCCTTTTATAATTAATTGGTTTTTTTTTGTCGTAAAAATGAGTTGTGGACGGGATTTACAAAAAAATCACAAAATGCAAAATGTTCACATTAATCAATGGCTAATAATAAATGAAATGTCATATCAAATACAGTAACAATGCTTCCATCAAACTGTCTCGGCTGCAGAAAGCACAAGAAGATATTGTCTAGCTCTTTATGAAATTCAAATTATTCAAATGATACCAAATATTATTATTATTATTTTTTTACAAACAATAGTAGCAAACATTTAAAAATAGCTGAAATACTGAAACTTACAAAATTACTGTTAACACTTACACATTAAAACGTTGTCATTTACAAATGTACACTTTTGTTTTTTAAAGTTGAAGCACTTTGGTTGGATAATACAAAAAGAAATCCCAATACTGATTCAAAAATAAATTAAGAGGTTATTGAAGTCAAATCAGAAATTTACAAAATAATACATCCACATGCGTACGATTAATCAGTACACCGGTTAAGAAAATGGACACTCGTGAAATCAGTTCATAGTCAGCCAAGTGGGAAACAAGTTGGCTGCCTCAGTTTGTGGTTTGGCTGTGACATTAGCTGTCAGTGCGCCAGTGCATTGTACGGTTGGGCCCACTTTTCTGATTCTCGGTCAGCCAGGGACAGAAAAGTAAGAAACGAAGCTGCAGAGTCGCTTGGCCGAGGGGACGTTCTGGATTCTGCTGTCCGAGTTCCAGAATGCGCTCCCGTTTTGCAGATCACGAGACCCTCCACCAGTTCTGCATTCTAAGACACACTACTGCACTGCATTCTTGAATGCATTCCCGTTCCGCGTTCTAGAATGCACCCCAGTTCTGTATTCACCTCGTGCATTCTAGAACGCGTTCGCATCATGCATCCTGGAACGTTCTGTATTCTAGTGCGCACTGGCGTTCTCGTTCTGCATTCAGGAACCCCCTTTTCTTTCATACATTGTAGGACGCGCATCAGTTCTTTCGTTCTAGAACGCGTCCCCCCTTTCAGAATTCCTGTACGGTGGTCCCTCTGAAGGGTCGGGCGTGGACGAGCCGCTGGGGGGGCTCTGAGCGCCGCTGGCCCCCGAGCTGTGGCACACGTACCACTCGCTCAGATTGGCGGCCTGTGAGCCCGAGAGGGGCTCGGAGAGCGCGGAGGGTGCTGGCTCCCGGCCCAGGTCCGACGAAGGAGAAACCAGAGACGGAGTCGATGACTCGTAACCCGAACTCGGAGGTGGGGACTTGCAGTGGACCTTCATGTGCTTCCTCAAAGAGCTGGGGTGCGTGTACGACTTGTCACAACCTCTCACTTTGCAGTTGTACGGCTTATCGCTGGTGTGCACGTGGGAGTGCTTTTTCCGGTCACTGCTGTTTGCAAACCGTCTGTCGCATCCGTCAAACTCGCACTTGAACGGCTTTTCGCCTAAAACAAGAAAACAGAGATTGCATCAGTTGTGGAGAACAGCCATATCAGCAAGTCATCAGGACCACCAACGATATAATTGAGAGAATAGGGGACCCTGCATCAGTCCCTCGGGGTGGAATATTTAAACCGTTCACAAACTGGCTCGTGCCAGTGAACTCTGGTGCCACAGATGTTATTAGCAGGTCATGTAGTACTTCCTGCCTTTTTATGCAATTGCAAATTGTTAATGTCACATGTATTGGAGTAAAATAATGAGCTTACGTTATATGCCATATTACTCTGGGGTACAAAACGTGAACGCTAACATAATAAACCTCTATCATTTACAGTTATATGGTCGAAAATGCTATTTTTTCCCACTGTAAGTACAGCAGGGGCTTGCAGAGAGGACTAGGTGCTACCAACGGTTGAATTAATTACATTCAAATCACATTGAGACATTGATTTTCTCCACACACGCTCGAGCCAGCCGCTTATGAGAATGTGTAATTGCTGCTGTCTAATTAAACTCGCGTGTTGAATATCAATTTGACCTTCAGCTGTTGGGCTGAGAGAGCCAATCAAGGGTATTAGTGTAGTACAAGCGAGAAACGAGCAAAGACACCCTTGGGAAATTGCATCCATAACCAAAGATTGAGATTCCACCACGTAGGAAGCCCAGCCTGTGTGCCATGGGGGGATGCCTAGAGGGACTCCAATCTTAGGGCCTGTCAGCATTAACTTTAGGGAACTATCAGGTTGTTCCTGAGAGTTCTTTTCAGACACACACAAAAGCATGAGCAAATATTGCTATGCTTCATGGCTGTGAATGAGAATTAAAGCACCAAGCAGTTAGGCCTGAGACCCCAAGAGGCCTCCCAAGTAACAAGTTGCCATCTTGGAATGAATCACAGTTTAATGCTGCTAAAGAGTCACAAGTGATTAAGATGGGAAGAGGTCCATATCACTGTAGAACAAACAAGAAGAGCATCTAGTGAACTCAGGTCTTTGGCTCTGTGCCCTGAACTACTTGTTGCATAGCGCTAGCACTAGCAGCACTAGCACTCTTCATCCAAATTATCTTTTAAAGAGCAACGCTTTGTTAATTAATAAAAGGTATTTCACTTAATGCTTTGGTTTTTCATGTTTCACATGTCCATTTTTGAAGGTGTACAAATGATTCTATTTATATTTGAAGAAAAGCTGAAAAAATCATGTAAAAAATGGCCAGTCTATAGAAAAAAAAAACAAACAAACAAAAAAAAAAACATTAGCATGCCTGTTAAGCTTATCCTTAACATATTCATCAGAAGTGTATAATAAGGGGAAAAGTAATCTAGAAAATTGCAACTAGCATTTGCACAGTTTGTGAGCAAGAGGTTAATTGTGAATATGGTTTAGCCCCTAATTCACAATTAAAGACAATAAACATACAGTCATGCATCAAAAATAATACCAGAACGTCCAACTGGTGCAAATAACAACAGTAAAAGCATAGATATAAACAGAGAGATTAGCTTGCTTAAAAGTTTCTCTGCCATTTCTTTTTTTTTTCCCTCAGGCATGACTTGGACGCACTCCATGGACTAGGCCCCAACCCTCAGGAAGGCGTTTCAACAGGAAAGCAATGCCTCTAAACCACTTGCAGTACTCAGATATAAGCCACTTGGGAAAATGTTTAAACCTTCCAAAAAATCTAGGCACATTCAGAACTGCTGTAATAATGTGTAGATTAAATTATTATTATTATTATTATTATTATTATTATTATTATTATTATTACATTTTGTTTTCTTTTTTATTATTTCATTTATTTGTCACTGTTTCTGAACACAAAAATCTGCGCTACAATCATAATGTCTGCACAGAAATGAACGTGATAGCATGTAAGAAATAACGTGACATGCATTGCTGATAACAAGGCAAGTCAAAACTTTGCACAGATTAGCAAGCAAGATGTTCCAAAGTGGCATCGCACATTAAACAGGTCAACTTATTTATAATACGCTTATATTCACCGCTTGCGTCAGAAAGCGTACATAATTTAAATACATTAATTTTCACTTAATTAGCATGTTTTTCAGTTAATTAGCTGAGCAACGAGCAATCGTTTATTATCCCTCTCTTTCAGGGAACTAACTTTTAGATCATTGCGCACACGCCGCTGCAGAAACAGAAATAAAACCACTGACCTGTGTGTGTCCTCTTGTGGATTTTCAGGTTTTCTGATCGCGCGAACACTTTGCCGCAGCCGGGGAACGGGCACGGGAAGGGTTTCTCTCCCGTGTGCACGCGGATATGGTTTACAAGTTTGTATTTGGCCTTAAAGGGCTTCCCTTCCCGCGGACACTCTTCCCAGAAGCAGACGTGGTTCGCCTGCTCCGGTCCACCGACATGCTCCACGGTCACATGGGTCACGAGCTCGTGCATGGTGCTGTAGGTCTTGGAACAAAGTTTCTTGGTGGAGTGCTCCGGCTCCAGCCACTTGCAGATGAGCTCCTGCTTGATGGGCTGCCGCATGTAGCGGAGGAAGGCGCCGGCGCTGTGGTGGTGGTGGTGCTGGTGGTGGTGGTGGTGGTGATGGGCGCCGAGGTTCATGTTCAGACTGAGTCCGCCGTAGCCGTGCAGAGGCGAGGCTGCGAACGGGTCCGCCCTGGAGCTCGCCACTGGAGTCAAGTGATCAGACCTCACGTACATGTCTCCAGGTATCCCCAACCTTATTTGTCCGTTCAGGGCTTGACCACCTGGCGCTCCGCTGGACGGCTGCTCGTGCTGGAGTCCGGGGAAGAGGGCGTCGGCGTGCTGACCATAGTGTCCCGGGTAGCTGCTACCTGTTGTCGAGACAAACATTCCGTGGTGAGAGGTGGAAGCTGACGCCGCCTGCTCGCTCAGCACCGGCATGGCTGGAGCGGTCAGATCGCGTCGGATGAGGAGATCCCTACCTGCGGATAACGCCTGGGCCGTGTGAGACATAGAGTAGGGCACCGTCGCCGCTTGCACCGGGCCAAAGGCTCCCGTTTGACTGGAGACCACGTCGCCGTGGCCTGCAATATGATGATTGTGGTGGTGGTGGTGGTGGCGGTGGGGATAATGATGGGCTGGGCTGATTTTGAGGGCCGCGGAGTGCCCCATGTGTTCTGGCCCGAATGGACTCGGCCCCAGGCGGGGTTCCGCAGTAATCTCCCCAGGGTGCGAGTGAGCCATTGAGTGGGGATGGCTGCTGAACCCCGGGAAGCCTGTCACGCTCTGAGGGGTATGGTGGTGATGATGGTGATGGTGGTGAGCCCCTGCCAAGTCAACTAATCTCAGCGCCGTGTTCCGTTTGGAAAACGTAGGGTCCATCACGGGGCTTCCCAAAGCATCCACGCTCATTACTCCTAATTTTTTTCTTTTTCTTTTTTTTTTTCTTTTTCTTTTTCTTTTTTTTTTTAGAATAACTTGACAGCAGGCAAAATAATAATGATGATGACAAATATATTTTAATCGCTTTGGAGAAAAAAAAAATACAGGGAGAAAAAAAAATAATAAAAAAAATAAAAACTTCCTAAAGTTTGGTTCCTATCTCTGTGCCTACATGGAATCCCATTCGGTTGAGAGGCAGCAGCAGGACGCTTTGATATACTGAATAGAGATTCATGGTAGGCGCTGCAGCCCGCCGAGCCGAACAATCATCCCGCTCTCTAATTGGTCAGAGCTCGGTGATTGACGTCACTTGTGACAGTTTCCAGTGTGAAGGGGGAAAAATGTTTTTAGTGGCAGCGAGAAGGAGCCAGGGCGCCTGCGCCGAGATTTGAAAAAAAAGACGAAAAAAGAAAAAGAAAGTTAATATTTTGTTTTGCAAAGGTTATTGTACTTTTTAAACTCCAGTCCCAGAGTTACATGTGGCCAGAAGCAGCTGTTCTCAAATAGTCGATGCGCTGTTGCAGCCAAACGCAAACCAGTTTGATCTTACCAAGTTTGCGTCCAGTGTTTTCCTCGTCGACGTCGGTAAAATCTCGCTAAAGTCTGGCTTAACACACGGCTACAGCTCGCTGCTTACACAATTCGACACGATTAATATGCGACGGGCGTCCCGGAGCTATGCTAGCCTGCATGGTGTGAAGATCAAGCGCCCAAAATAAGAACACATGCAAAAAGCCAAAGAAGCAGTTTTACGTGCTTTGTGCCAGGCGCCCACCCTCTTCGTTTCGTCCGCTTCGTCATGGGACCGGTGTCGGTAAGATTGCATAAAAAAGTGCGGTAAAAAGTCCATGTTGCTGCGATCCGAGGTAATGTTGCCCGCTTGCCCAATCCGGCTCTGTCCACGAGCGGCTCAGGCGCACAGAAGGAGGCGCTTAATGTAGGCAGGGGCAGCAAAGCAGGGGACGCTTTGCTAAAACAGCAGCCCAGTAAACAAACTGTCCCTCCAACACATAAAACTTATCGATTATCTATTGGGCTTCGGAGAACATGCCACTGACTCTACACCTGTGATGCTAATGTACCTGTCACGTCTGCCTCTTAAGTGGAATTCTTAAATGAACTAAATACGCAGTTTGTTGGAATGTCGCGTGTTTAGCCGTTTATAAATAACACAGGTAATAACATCTTTAGCTGGTTTCCTTCCCTGAGCTCTGCTTATACCAACGCGTAATGGCATGCATAACAAAATGTCAAATAAAAAAAAAAAATACAAATATAAAGAGACTGTTTCTTTTAAATGCACGTCTTGTTTTAGAGATCAACAAAGTAGTAGGCCTACATTTCCTCAATCGTCCTGTTGCGATATTAAAATGAGCTGCGAGCTGTTTGATGACCTTTGGTGCCAGTTTACCATAGCTGGGATTACAGCGTGCACTGGCGTTTTTGTTTTTCTGCCTGTGAATAAAATGTTCTCGGATAGGAACCACGAAATGTAATTTGGTGTAATTGTGTAAAATAAATAAAGGAATAAAAGTCATGGAGCATATGTGGAATCTGAGTAGGCCTGAAGGACATTCTGTACGCATGAAAAAGCTACATGGCATTGAACACGCGCTGGAAGTCGTTATAGGGAACTAACTATTATTTGTATTATACGTTTTAATCTGTGCAAATAAATATATGAAGAAAGAAATAAATTGTAGTGTGGTGTAATTTTTGAAAGACCATCGATTTACAATAAATATTAATGAATACATACATTTATTTTTCAAATGTACCAAAAATAAACTGTAAACAGTGTGTAAGCAAGACAGTCTAGCCCTCCAAAATATTTTCCATGGATGTCGTTAAGCCAGAATGTGCGATATAAAGTCTGGAGAGTATATATATATATATATATATATATATATATATATATATATATATATATATATATATACACGGTTGTTGGCTATGATGTACATAAATGAGTGTAGTGTCTAATTTTCTATGCACAATACTTGCACAGTTCAAATTAGTTCTATTTGAATATTCTTACCTTGATCATCACTGGTTGGTTGCCGTGTCTTAATCAAATCAGCCAGAGTCAAACAGGGATTGTTGTGTGAAGTGACCCCAACGGGGAGGTCAAACAGTTACCATTAGATTCATGTCAAATATCAGATGTGCAGTCTCCATAAGCATTGAGGCGGATTGTTTAAGAGTGATGAGTCACTTCTGACACTGCAAAACCCTTAATGCCTTTGGACAAGATGTCACACCAGTATTTTCATAAGCTTGAAGCCAGTGTCGTGCAATGAAACCCCGAGTACAGTGCACAAAACTATGGACATGGCCCATAGCGAAGAACCCTAAAAGGTACGGCTTTGTAGTGTCGGTTTTATTTATTATACAATGCGTAGTAGCACTTAACTGAAACACAAGGCTTTGGCCCCAACAAATGTGATTAAGCAAAAATAAAATGCATCGTAATGATAATGCACAACAGCAAGGAATAATCTGGAAGTGCGTCTGGGGAATGTTTACCAAATAATCTACCGTATCCTTTAGATAGTGAGGAACTTTCCCGCCGTTGCGAAAGTACTCTTAAGAAAAATAATGCAGACGCTGCGTCACGCTTGTGCACGTTTCACTTTAATGATATTGAATATGTATTTAATAATTGATGCTAGTCAATTGAGGATCTCCGGAGAGCGCTGCTGGATTGATCTATCAGGCCTTTGGTGACACTGCCAGACCATCCGTGTCATAAATAAGTAAACATTGTGTGAAGTGTGACAGATAGTGAAGATGTTAGTCGAGCGGAGTGCGGTATGGGTTGCAGCTGCACTCTTCAGGCATTTTAGAGTGCAGGGCCTAAACGCATGTTCCTTCCAAAGCTCTTTTTGTTGTTGTTGCTGTCTTCCGTGTCGAATAAAACCTAATAGGACATATTAAAAGGAAAGTAAAACAGGAAGAGTGTGGCTGCACTAATTTGTAGAACTCCAGAAATCTCAAACGTATTTTTTCTTGGGAAAAAATATCTCTAACTCAACTCAGGCCTATAAAAAAGAATTCGGTATATTAACATAGTACTTTTAGACAAATAAAATCCCAGTTGAACAGAACACCCACAGATCAGATCGAATGGATTTCATATGTCCACTGTATACATGTATACAACCTCATGCTTTACGGGCCAGGCCTTTCAACAAGAACTGGTTTTAAACTTTAGATACCACAAAAAAGTACATGCAGTTACTCTGGACTAGGTTTTGAGTCAGTTTATTGCGTACATTGAAGACATTTCCAACAAGTACAGCCTTTGCTTTGTCTTCCTTACCGTTTTCCACCTGTTGAAGACATCCTCCACTTTTCTTTTAGATAGACAAGTTCCTTCAGACAAAAATGTTGAAGATAACAGTCGCACGTTCTCTCTCTCTCTCTCTCTCTCTCTCTCTCTCTCTCTCTCTCTCTCTCTCTTTCTCTCTGCCTCTGTCTCTCTCTCTCTCGCGCCCTGGAATGAGTTGGAAAATGCATGAAGCAGAAGGCTGCAGTCCGGATTTTATTCTGATGGCTCGTATGGCTTTGAACTCCAGCCGCCCGAGTTTCCTGCAGAGAGCGCCGCAAATCCCACTTGATAACTTCGACAACCCACAACTTTTAGAGCACGCAACGGCGATACATTACGGCCTCGCTCTCTCTTAGAAAAAAACATAGATAATAAAAGAGAAAGAACCAATAGCGCGTTTTGATATAGTATACGCTGGCATTACATAAGAAGTTTGTAAATGCCCCTATCAGCGCAGGGGTCACCCACTTTAGACACGAGAGAGCCTGAAAATGCCTTTAAAAGGAAAAGCGAAGAAGAAATTGATCTAACGTTGTACGCCTGTGGAACTGCGTACGTAGAACGAATGTGCAACTAAAACAGCTTCGTAATTGAAGTGGTGAGCGCATGATTGGGATCTTACAATGTGTACATTTCTGAAACCGTTCACTCTAAATGCAGCACATGCAAGTCTACATGCATTGGGCTCAACAGCAAATGTGGACGTTATCTAAAAAAAACCTCCCAGTTTGTGGGGAGAAAAGGGAAGAAATAACTGAAATTCCTGAAAGCAGGCCTTTGTGGTCTGGCTTCTCTTTGCGTGTAAAAAGACCTTTACTAGTAAGATCGCGGTGTGCTTTTGCACGACAAACGAACACACTCCAAGTCTGCACCAATTCACTATGTTCATGACAGAAAACTGATTCAATGTTAACCACAGGAGACTCAGAATGTGCTGCCCGTGACGTATAATTTTTGTTTGGAGGGATTTTGTTGTTGCTGCTGTTGAGGAATGTGGAAGATATGGGATACAGCCTGTAGAGTCATATATTTCCAGATACATATGGTCAAGACCCTCCACACCAAACGCTACGGAATGTTTACTAAATGCAGGTGCTTGTTTACTTTGGAGAAACCCTGCATGTAGACTGACCATGGAGAGAAGGTGCAGGGGCAGCCGGTGCATGGGGTACAAAAACACCAAGAGTTGTAGTGCATAGATGCAACTCCAGCTCTTTTGCGAATTTCATCCCGAAAAACGCAGTCATGCAACCTGACGAGCGCGGATTGATGATGCGCGCGGACCAATCGCGCCGTTATTCGGTAAGTGAGCGGTAGTGGAGGGTGGGGAGGATGTGTAGGGGGGGCCGCTCACCCTCTCCAATGGTCGTCCGGGCATGAGGTCACGTGCTGCCCCCTTCCTCCTCCCCTCCTCCCCATCCCGTCCCTTCCTCTCCCCCCCCACCCCACCCCCCCCCATTCATCAGGGGTCGGACTGTGTTGTCTTTTCAATTCATTTATCTGCAGGAATGATTGCGACTATCAGTCTGGAGCTCACCGCCTGACTGAGGAGGTGAAAAGTTGCGCCGCGGGAAAGGCGAACCGCAAAAAACAGCACGACACGAGAAAACCGCACATGATTTGCGTCGCGCATCGGATCGGAGTTTTTTAGGGGGGATTCCTCTGAGCTGAAAGAGAGAAAGAGAAGAGAACAGAGAGAGAGAAAAAAAACAAAAACAACAACAAAAAAGTAAATAGAGGAAGAAGGGGGATTGGAGTTGTCTCTCTCTTTTCTTTTTTTGGTCGTAGCCCGCTTTAAGCCCGAGTAAAAAACACACCCTAAGCCAGAGACAGACTCGTCGAGAGGGGAGTGTGTGCGCGCGTGTGTGTGTGCGCGCGCGAGTGTGTGATTCCGCTCGCTCCCTCGCTCTTTCGGTCGCCGCAGACGCTGAAGATGCTGCTGGACGCCGGAGCGCAGTACCCGGCCATTGGAGTGACTACTTTCGGCTCCTCCAGACATCACTCAACAGGCGAGGTGACGGACAGGGACGTGGCTTTGGGGATAAATCCGTTCGCCGACGGCATGGGCGCCTTCAAGCTGAACCCCAGCTCGCATGACCTCGGCTCGAGCCAGGCGACGGCGTTCTCGTCTCAGGCGCCCGGATACGCGGCCGCCGCAGCCGCCTTGGGCCACCCGCACCACTCGCATCACCCGCACCACCCGCATCACCACCACGCGGGCCACGTGGGCTCCTACTCCACGTTCAACTCCACGCGGGACTTCCTATTCCGCAACCGCGGCTTCGGCGAGGCGGCGGGCGCGCAGCACGGCCTCTTCGCGTCGGCCGCCGCGGCCGCCGCCGCCGCCGGGAGCTTCGCGGCGCCGCACGCGCCCTCGGATGCGGCGGGCCACCTGCTCTTCCCCGGGCTGCACGAGCAGGCTGCGCCTAACGTGGTCAACGGGCAGATGCGCCTGGGCTTCTCGGGAGACGTGTACGGCCGCGCAGCCGCCGAGCAGTACGGCCACGTGGCTGCGAGCCCACGGCCCGAGCACTATGCGCCCGCGCCTCTCCACGGCTACGGAGCCGTGAACGTGGCTGCCGCCCACCACGGCGCCGGCGCCTTCTTCCGTTACATGCGGCAGCCCATCAAGCAGGAGCTCATCTGCAAGTGGGTCGAGCCCGAGCAACTCAGCAGCCCCAAGAAGTCGTGCAACAAGACGTTCAGCACCATGCACGAGCTCGTCACGCACCTCACCGTGGAGCACGTCGGCGGACCCGAGCAGAGCAACCACATCTGCTTCTGGGAGGAGTGCTCGCGGGAGGGCAAGCCCTTCAAGGCCAAATACAAACTCGTCAACCACATCCGCGTGCACACGGGAGAGAAACCTTTCCCGTGTCCGTTCCCCGGCTGTGGCAAAGTGTTCGCGCGATCAGAAAACCTGAAAATACACAAGAGGACACACACAGGTAAGAGCAGTGGTGTGCTTAAATTTTTGTGGAGTTTTGTTGGCATGGTTTGGAATAAGTCAGTAATAATATTATAATAACAAATTCTAATTTTGCGCTTTGTAAGTACCAATAAAAACAAGCAAAAATAGTCAATAATGACAACAATTACAAATAGAAATTTTGGAAATTTTGCACTGTCAATAATTATTAATAATTATTATAAATTAAAACAAAGCAAACTATAAATATATTAATGCTATTGCTTGCTGTTGATTTTTTTTTTGTCTTGTCCTCTTTAGCAGAAATTTACACAACTTAGTGCTTTCTGTCTTTGCTTCCATAATTTATTTTCTTGAGTTAAATATGTAGATTAACAGTATAAATTGGCTTAAAATTGTGTGGAGTTGTATAATTTAATTTAGTGTAAATTATGAGCAGTGTTATTTATTGTAATCGCTTAAATTTGCTTATAGCACTTGTCATGAGGTCTGCGATGTGGGTTTTTCAGAGCTTCTTTAAACCCGGTTCTCTGGTTAAAATGCTTGTTTTGTTTTTTCGCTTTGTGCTGCAGGTGAAAAACCTTTTAAGTGCGAGTTTGACGGCTGTGACAGGCGGTTTGCTAACAGCAGCGACCGAAAGAAACACATGCACGTCCACACGTCAGATAAGCCCTATCTGTGCAAAATGTGCGACAAATCCTACACACATCCCAGCTCCCTCCGGAAACACATGAAGGTAGGGGACGACAACAACAATAACAAAGTCATTTTCTATCGATTTTATTCTACCATGTTTTTCTTTTGACTTTCTTCTCAGTTTGGACGAAGTCATATATTTTGGTGTTGCTATAATAGATGAAATGTATCTAAAGCAGCTGTGACTTTTTGCTCATGTTGGTAAAAAAGAAAGAAAAAAAAGGAAGAAAGAAACAGCAGCCTGCTATCAGGACAACAGCTCAAAGTTTGACTCCCACGGTTTGCTCTTTGTTTTGAAGGTCCACGAGTCGTCGTCCCAAGGCTCCCAGCCGTCTCCAGCAGCCAGCTCAGGCTACGAGTCCTCCACGCCCCCCACCATCGTCTCTCCGTCCACAGAGAACCAGAGCAGCAGCTCCATATCGCCGGCAGCCTCGTCCACGGTGCACCACACGACCACTCACAGCACCCTGTCGTCAAATTTTAACGAATGGTACGTGTAAATATTTTCAAAAAAAGAAAAAAAAAGAAAAGAAAGGAAAATGAAAGACTGCAGAATTAAGACTGCTTGGAAAATCAAAGACTCGATCGCAAGGACCTAAAAGAGAGAGAGAGAGTGAGTGTGAGTCTGAGAGATACAGGAGAGAGAATGAAGAACCTCAAATGTGTTTTTTTGGTGAATGGCTGTATAGCAAAAAGTGATCAGTGCATGGACGTGGTGCAAGGCGACAACCAGCTTAACAGTCTTTCCCTCAATATGCATATAAATATATATATGATTTTATTTTTTATTTTGTTTGTTTGTTTTTTTTTACGTTTTTATTTTTTTATTATCACCCCTCCCTTTTTTGAGAGAAAGACTGCACACACCGGAGATCAGTTGCATGCCACCAGCAGGTCAAATCCTGTTTTTGTTTTTTGTACATAAAGATTTACCTAGTTTCAAATGTAATATTTTATTTTGTAAATAGTCATAATACAGTTTTAAGGGAATTTTTTGTGAAAAAAAAAATGTGGTCCCTAGATATATGGAAAAATGAGATGGCTTTACGAATATTGCGATGATTAGTCTTGACTGCAAAGAATGTTATAGTTAATGTGTACCAAATGTGAATTTACTCAGTATTATACCGTCTACACGTTTACCTAACCGATTATTAGTATTAATGTGCTTTTGTATCCAGTGCAACATTTCGTCTCAAGTCCAGTCTGAGTAGCACAGTTGTTGTTATTTAATGTCATGTCGATAAATTGTGTAGTGAAAGCCTGAAACTCCGTGTCAATCTTGTTTATGTAAGTGATGAAATATAAAGCTATCTGTCTATTGCAATGCCAGTCGCAGGAAATTATGACTTGTATATAGTTCAGTTTTCCATATTTATCCGCATGTAAAGGACCGGTAACTCATGTTAGAGGTAGGCCTAATCGGTATTTATGGAGAAATGCGTTGGTAGGGTTATGTAAAATTTAGTTTTCCAAATAATGTTTGGTTACATTTCGTACAATATTAAAGAATTAAACGTACAACAACAACAACAACAAATGCCTTCACGATTTTGTTTCTCAAACTGTGGTCTAAGCGCCTGACTGAAGGTGATTTTTAATAAATATATTTTCAACTTTTGTAGAATAGAGTTGTTTCACCCCAAACAAATGGACATCATTCCAGGACTGTTCTAAACTCTTTTACACTGTAGCCTCCCTGGTTTAATGCGAATGTAAAAGCGTATCAGTAATTTAACCCTTAATGTGTAAATGCCAACTACACGCCACGCCAACGGGAGTCATTCACACAACTCAGTCAAGCACACAATGCAGTAACTCTATATTCTGTTAGCGTAATTGCACCAGGTCACATCCCAGTCTCTTTCATTGTTGTAGTTCGCATCGCCTAATTCACTAAGACAAACGCATTTTTCTCAAGTAATTGCATTTTCTAGTTCGAGCCCATTCGACAGAGATCCCTCGTGTAGGCTGATGTTGGCGTTAAAAACGACAAGTCGTGACGGATTTATTTACCAACGTGGCCCTGCTCTCTAAACTGTTGAGGTTACTTAATTGTGGTGCCTAATTATCCTCGATCCAGCAGTTTGTAGGAGTTGGAGGGAAGGGAGGGAGTGAGGGGGGGCTTCAGGCTGAAATGTGGAGTCAGTGTTGGGCTTTGTTCCTGGCTGCAGCCCGCCTGAGCGCCCCATTAGGCAGAGATCACATCAGCCATCATGACTCACACACCACTGCACCGCGCGGATTTTGGGGGGATTTTGGGGGGCGTTATGAAAATAGGGGTTCGATCTAGCGGGTGTTAGAGATAAAACAGCTCAAAGATATATTAACTTTGTGCTAAGCGTGATTTTTTTTTTTCTCTCCTAAAATTTTTGGTAAAGCGCTAAAAAATAATAAATAAATAATAATAATAATAATAATAAAAACGTCGCGGTTGAGTTTGGTGGCACGCGATCGCGGCAAACTTTTCTCCTGAACATGTGACTCGCAGCGACGTCGCGAGACTCAGCCCTTGCCCCGAGGCTATGCTGGAACTAATGAAACAATCACCGCAATATTTCTTAATTCGTAGCTGTTTGAATTTATTTGCGTTTATTTGCGTTTTTAGAGGCAATTTAGCGTTTCGTTATAGCATCAAGCAACAAATAAAAACCCACCGTAGGCTACTCTGCAAGGCCCTGCAATATTGCACTATCCAGGCCTGGTGTATTAAGGAGCATGCAATAGCCTGCAGTGTTTACATTCCCTCCCCGGGGGTGTGCAGGAGCGCGTGCCCGCGGGTGCTTCGGTGCGCGTGCGTGTGAACGGAAGGACGTGTGAGTGGCCAGATATTGACTTCAGGAAAAGAAAAGAGAGGAGGGGAAAAAACACAAACACATTGGCACATCAAACACTAATAACCAATACGGTTGGGATGCATGATGTCTGAGGTGATTTTTCGAGATGCATTCATATTCTCTTTTTCACGGGTTATTAGGTTTTGAGATATGTGAGTGATGGTAATAAAATGAATTGTTCGACTCTATTTAACACTCTATCTATTCTAAGGTTCTGGTACATTTTCATTCATGCACCGTTAGACTAGCAATAGAAAGTGTTATGTATTGATCTGTGCAATGCAATGCGCCTCTTTTTATGCTCTCATTTGGACGAGAAGCGGCTGTTTGCGTCCTCGCTTCTCTGTTGGGTTCGTTGAAAATAACAGAAACCGTTTATTTTTTGTCTTATTTTTTATATACTATTTTCTTTTTTTTCGTCACTCATTACTGAACAACATTTGGATGGACGGTTATTTAACATGGAGTAGCCCACCTGACGGACCTCAGTTGCTCTTTTAGGCAGCCCCTGGGTACCAAGCCGGTTTTCACTTATTCACTTATTTATTTATCAATTGTTTTTCTTCTGCTAAAATAATTTTATGACGTAGCTATTACCAGTTGTTCATTCCTACGACTTTTATGTTTTTTTTATAGCACTGTATTTGCAACTAATTATCAAAACAGGCGTTGCTGGTTTCTTGAAGAACTCATACAAATGGTTTTGATAAGGAAGAGATGGTGTGCCAGTACTGCTCAATCATTTTAATATAACTTCAATATATTTAAGTAAAACTTAATGCACAACACATTCCAAGTTTATGGATTTTCTGTCGGTCGCTTTAGAAATGCAGTCAAGAAAAAAGAAAGAACAAACAAAGAAAAAAAATGAATGCTCAGAACTGAAACGTGTTATGTTTGTTACGCTGACGATGATTTTAGCTTAGCGAAGTGCAGAAGGGGGAGAGAAGAAAAGAAAAAAAAATGCACGTATGGGTTGTTATGGACGCTGGAAAACAGATCATAATAATGCTGATTGCATTGCAGTAGTGCTTGAACCCTGCTGCTAGCAAGCTAGGCGAAGGTTACGACCAGAAATGCTGCACAGCCTGCTTAGTCACCATTCAGTACTTCATATGTGAGGTGGCATTACTTACCTTACTTAGCTATTCATTCGCCTGGGATAGGTGCTCTACCTAGAATCATCCAACTCGGAACCATGCATGCATTTTCATGAACTAAGGAATTCAGTTCGCGTGCTGTGCTGGGGAGGGGGGGGGTGGATAGTTTTAGCTCAGGTTATTTGACTACATGATAGCTAATTTAGACTTCTGAAAAGGTTTACATCTGACACCAGAACAGAAAGCTAAGGTGAGGTGCTACTGCTAGACGCAAAGCTGGGATAACTATAAAATGAAAACTTTAGGTTCCTGATGAAGTTGGAGTTATATTTTAGGTACTGCCCAAAAAGGTATATATATATATATATATATATATATATATATATATATATATATATATATATATATATAAAACATTTTATTTATTTATTTATTTATTTATTTTTGACTATCGACTCAGCTGTAGTACAAATCCTACATTGAACTTCTCAGATCGCTGCACAGCTGATGGCCAGAGTTGCATATATAGCTGTTGCTTTTTTTCTTAAAAGTAAAAGGTAGCTGCTGACACCCACCCCCATCCCCCACCCACACACTTCATTCATATATGACCTTTGGCTGACTCCGGTTCTGTCTTGTAGCAGTGTTTTGTTGTTATACTGGGAGAGATGAGCGTCAAACTCCAACCTAGGGCGCGAGCTGACAGGAGCAAAGCCGGAGAGCCTGCGGACTGTTGCTCTCTATTGACGCGATGGTCATTTTTTCTATAACTCGCCAAAGTGCATTTATCACCGCTTTATAAAAGAAGCCCTGTAGCCTGCAATGAAATGGCATACAGATTAAATTAGTCATTATTCAACTTTTGAGAGGACAACATGGCACGGGGGGCGTTTATCGCCCAGCCCTTTCCCACGAAATTGTGTTTTAGCGTATTTAGGCGCTAAATACTACAACCACGATAAAACAATGGATAATCATAAGAAGGGAAAAATCCAAATGATAGTGGTAGTAGTGGTGGATAGCAGTATTACTTTACACCCTTAGAAAAAATAGTAGTAAACTGTCACAGGGGTGGTACCCCTCAAGGGTACGTCGTCAGTATATTTAATTAGGGATCGTGATTGCACCATATTTCAGTACAGTTGTGGTTTTTGTTACACTGACACCTTATTTCATGTCTTGATTCCAAGTCTTTATTTATTTATTTATTTATTTTAAAATGGTCGGCTTTAAAAAGCTACGACTACGCGCCTTTCTCCAGGGAAAGCCAATATATTGTACACAATTGGACATTGAGACCATTGTTGTAGCTTTAGGGTTCTATTTAAATTTTTTATACCATTGGTTGTTCATAAATTGTACCTGAACAGTACTTTTTTCAGACACCCTAGTTACAACTATTAACTACTAAAATTACGATTAAAATGACTGAAATCCAGAAACCAACCGAGACAGAATAATCGCAATTATAATTACAATTAATAAAAATTACAATAACAAAATCAACACGAAACATTAGGCTGATGATCATGAATTCATTGTTTAGGTTTTGTGCACATCTCCAAGCGCCAGGCCTGCGTTCTTGTCATTCCTAACCATAATCCCTTTGATTCACACTCTGCTAAAGAAAGAACCGTCAACTAACATGAGTCATAAGGGGTTTTCGTGACCCATCCAGCATCATTCGTGGACATCCTGACACGCAATGGACCTCAGAAGATTTGTGGAGGCGCTGACTTTGTCTATGTTGTCGCCTTCTCCTGACGCCTCGCTAAATGGGGTCATTCCAATTAGTTGTTTTGCGACAAGGGTACGGAGATCTCGCAGAGACACTCGCACTTTGTCGAGGGATGGAAAATAGGCATCCCACCGAGAAAAGCAGGAGATGAGTTGCCGCAAATTTTGCGTGTGTTATCATTAAAATCATAAGAAGCGTTTATTTCCTTTTACCTTAACCTACTATGCGGTTTAATGTCTCACACGTAATAACCAGGCATAGTTTCATTATCATATATATATATTTTTTAATTTTTAAAAATTAAATTAAATAATAGCTATTATCTTTGTTTACCTGTTCTGAAGTCAAAAGAAAGCTCTAAAAACAAACCTTTCCCTCTCCTGGTTTCTCATTACGTCGCTTGGTATTTTATTTACTCGTCACAGATGAGGGCAGCTTGTGGACATCTGCTCTTTTAATTGCATCTCATCAGTATAATGAATGATAAAATCTGGAGGTGAAGCACTAGATTGGAACACTCAGATAATGGCGCTTCAAATGGCGCCTCAGAAGGTGATTCGTTAAAGGAGTAATTTGTAAACTTAATGCACTTTATAAAATGGCGTTTTGTGTGTTTTTGTGTGCTTCACTGGACAAACATTAGAATGAGTCTGTATGAAATGCACGAGCACACCCGCTGCCATCCAGATTAACAAATACATACTGGTAAACCTTATTCCAAATATTTTGGCCTTTGCATTGTTTTTATTAACACCAGCGATTTTTTAATAATACATATACACCACATAAACACTGACAGCCCTACACAAGCATACTGTGGCTATATGATGCAAGGTTTCTCCCAAAGTGGATGACAAGGCC